GAGCAAAGCCAATCCATATGAAGGAAAAATAGAGAATTACAACACACAATGGAAGTAACATCCAGAGAGATGAAACACAGTAAGTAATGAAGTAGGCCAAGCACATAGACTGGGTGATCAATGTAAGCTCTAGCATAAATCGCCACAAATCTCAGAGTAGAATGACAATGAGCACAGCACAGTAGACCCCAACAAGCCCCAGAAATGACTTGGATATACTCCTGCTGTGATAGGCCCATGAAGGCTCCAAAAAGACCTCAGACAGGTTCGGAAACAACTCTACCACAGTAGGGCCCCATGAGCCCTGTGATGGGAGTGGAAGCAACTCAGACCAAGAAGTCACTGGTAAACAGTGGCGCAAACCCTAACAAAAGTCACAGATTCTATGGACTCTGACACAGTTCTGGTCACCACTGGCTGTGGCTCTTGCTGCAGCAAAGATTGCTTAGAGAGATAGTTCTTTGGATAAAGGTAGGATAGATATCATGTGACAGCAGAGACCAGTGCCAACTTCAACAGGACTGGCATCAACTGAAATTCAGTCTGCATTTGACAAGTTCAAGGTGGACAGAGGAACATAAGGATGGTGGTCTGAAGTAGGGGACACTGGTGACAGGCCTATCACTCAGCCATAGGCCCTAGGAAAGGGGGGAGCAGAAGTTGTGCAGAGGTACAACATGACAGAGAAGAAAACCTTGCAGAGAATCTGAGGTGCTCTACATGGTATAGGTCCTGATAAAGGTGATAGCAGAGCAGACATTCTGATCTGGACACCCTCCTCCACCTGATGGGATTAATGCATACATTATGAGGCTCACTGATGGCATAGCAATTGCTCAGAATCTCATTACAAACCCCAGAGAAGATATATATCAGGGGTGCCAGAAACACATGAGACAACTTAAGCCTTACTCATCCATACCAGTATCTAGATCTCTTTGAGTCCTTCCTCCATGCTGCTGACTCAGTAACTACAAAGCAGAGCTGAGTATACACCATAGCCAACAATGTAAAAATGACTAATTACTAGTTAAAAAAACAAAATCACAGAACCACATGTGGGGAAAGTAAAATAATTTGGCTCCTACATTACTACCAAGCATATTTTTAAAACAATAATAACAATAATAATAAAATAAGGAGAGCTCAAATAACTAAATGGTCAAACAAAAATTTAACATGAAAATATGGACCCTCACCTTAAAGTGAGAAAAAATTCTCCATAATTGAAACACAAAATAGATGGGAGATTATATCTCTATATCAACTAGAGAGTTCAGAACACTATAATAGAGACCACAATGAGTAAAAACTCAGAAAGTAAGTCAAAGTAATGAAAGAGAATTCAGAAAGGCAAGTCAAAGAAATATCAGAGAACTTGAGAAAGCTAATAAAAAGTTACAACAAAAATCCAGGGGAAAAAATGTAATAAGTTTAAAAACAAAGAACAGAAAGTAAAAATTGAAATTCTAGAAAAGAAAATAACAGAAATTTAGGAGATGAATAGTTCAATTAATGAGATTAAAAGTCCCTGGTGGCGCAGCGGGTTAAAGCACAGCACTGAGAATCTGAAGCCACTTCCGCATGAGTTCGATTCCCGCCTGCCACCTGCCCTGGAGGAGACCACATGGCGAGCCAGACCTCTCCTGACCCGCCTGCTGCTTCCCTCAGCAGTGTACTTCGTCGATCTGCCTGTTCTGCTCCCCACTCTGTCTCTGGTGAAGCCTCTCACCGCCCCTGAGCCTCTGGCCTGTTCTAGGAGGGCCTGTCCTGGTGGTGCAATAAGGAAAAACTAAGCCCCTGCAGCCCCAATCTGGTCCCCACCCAGGGGGCTGACACACATGGCATGGACTTCTCTTGTCCCACTCACTACTCCCCTCAACAGTGTATTTCAGTCAATCCACCTGTTCTGTTCTCTACTCTGTCTCTGGTGAATCCCCTCTCACCCGTTCCCCCACCTATACCACTGGCTTGTACCCTATTTCTTTATGCAGAAATAAATATTAAAATATATATATATATATATATAATATATATATAGCTCCAGAGAAAGTTATGGAGGGAGAAGAGGTCAGAGAATTAAATCAGTGGTCCCACAGATTCTAATGCACTAAGAGTCCAGTTACAATAGGAGAAACAATATTAAAAGAAAAAAAGAAAGAAAGAAAAGTCAAATTCAAAAATATCTCAAATAATTAAGAAAATTAATGAGAGTATAATGAGTATCCCAGAAGGGAAAGAAAGAGAAAATGGAGAACAGAGCCTATTCAATGAAATAATAGAGGGAAATTCCCACACCCAGAGAAGAAATTCAACATACCAGTCCACAAAGCTAAAACACCAGGTTCCCTAAATACAATGAGACCTACAAACATTACATAATAGTGAAACAAGAACACCTGAAAATCAATCTATATAATTTACCATATCAACAGAAAGGAAAATAAAAACAATATTATTCTATCAACAGATGCCAAGAAAGGATTTCATTAAATTCAACATCCATTTATTATGAAAATGCTTGAAAAACTGGGGATGAATGGAACATATTTAACGTATTGTAATGAAGTCCATATATGACAAACATACAGCCAATATCATTCTCAAGGTTGTAAGAGTTTTTCCCCTAAGCTATGGTAAAGATAAGGAAGTCCACTCTTATGGCTACTATTCAACATAGTATTAGAAGACATAGCTAGTGCAATTGGGCAAAAAAGCTATACAAGAAATCCAAATTGAGAAAGAAGTAAAGTTATCAGTATTTGTAAGTGATACAATGATATGCAAAGAAAACCCTAAGGACTATAGAAGAAAAAAAAAAAACTAGTTGAGAAAATAAATCAACTCAGCAAAATGGCAGGCTATAAAATCAATAGACTAAATCAGTTCCCTCCAATATGCAGTCAATGAGCTAGAAAAGGAAGAAATCAAGAAATGATCATATTGACATTCACACCAGAAAAAAATTAAATACCTAGAAGGAAAACTAACAAAAGGAGTGAAAGACCTATACAAAAAAAAAAAAAAAACTGTAAGATATTTCTTAAATCAAAAGATATTCCCTTGTCATGGACTGGAAGAATCAACATTGCCAAAATGGTCATCCTACCCAAAGTAATATACAACTGCAGTGTAATCCCAATAAAAATTTCAATGGAATTCTTTAAAGACAAGAAAACTTTACTGAAATTCTCATGGAACCACAGAAAGCAAATAGCCAATGCAATCCTGACCAAAATAAATGATGATACCACCACCCACCCAGACTCAAACTATACTGTACATCCATAATAATTAAAACAACATGGCACTGGAACAAAATACAGCCATGATTACTAATGAAATAGAATTGAGAGCCCAAAATTAAACTCATGTGTTTATGGTAGGTAATCTATAATTAAGGAGCCAAGAGTATACTATGAAATAAAGGAAGTCTCTTCAATAAATGGTGTTGGGCAACCCAGACAGTCTCAGACAGAAAAATAAAACAAGACCTCTGTCTCACACCATAGACAAAAATCAACTGAAAAATAAATTAAAAGATGACCTCCCTGATGGTGAAAGGAGCTAAGTTTCAGCACCATAAAGCAATCACCAGCCCCCCCAAAAGGAATTTGATCCCACATTGTGCAGCTGACCTCTCCTATCTCACCCACTAATCCCCTCAGCAGATTTCAGTAGATCCACCTGTTCTGCTCCCCATTCTGCCTCTGGTAAATCCTCTCATCTCCCCCCACTCCTCTGTCCTACCCCCAGCTCTTGTTTGTATAAATAAAAAATATTTTAAAAAAAATTAGTTTCATGTAAGACAGTTTCATGTAAGACACTTAAAAGAAAACATAGGCAAAACACTCTACAACAGTGGCTTGGATGATATCTTAGAGACTCAACACCAAAAGGAATGAAAACAAAAGCAAAAGTAAACGAACGGAATTATATCAAACTAAAAAATAAATAACTTTTGTAAGTGGAAAAAATATTATCATTAAAACAAACATACACTCTACTGCACAGGGAAAAAAATTGTGCACCATATATTTGATATATTTGTACATACTCAGTATGTACGAACATATACAATTCAAAAAGATAAAATAACCAAATCAAAAAAGTGGTCAAGAAAGTCCTCTCATACTGATGGCCAGAACATGAAAAAAATGTTCAATGTATTTATCATCAAGAAAATACAAATAAAAGCAACAATAAGCTGCCACTTCACAACCATAAAAATGGTCCATATAAAAAAACATGAACAACAAATGTTTGTAAAATAGTAGAAAGGAACACTTTGTTAGTGGGAGGACAGACTAATTTATCCCTCTATAAAACAATATGGAGGTTGGTCAAAATATTGAAAATAAAAATAACATATTATCTAACTATTCCACTTCTAGGTATCTAACCAAAGAGTGAAAAAAAAAAAAAAAAACAATTCAAAGAGATATGTGCACTCTCGTATTTATTGCAGCACTACTGAAAATAGCCAAGTAATGGAAACAACCTAAGTGCCCAAAGACAAATGTAGTATATAAACACAATGGAATACTAATAAGCTATAAAAAGAGGGAAAATTGCGTTGCTATATGCAACAACATGGGTAGAGTGGAGGGAACTATGCAAAGTGAAATAAGACCAAAAAAAGACAAATGCTGATTGGTTTCACTCACATGAATATTAAGAAACAACCCAAAGGGATTAACAAAAGTAAACCAGAATACAAAATCAGAAATATGATTGCAGAATTGAGGCTACTAAAGGAAAGGGAGGATAGAGAGAACAAATGGGGGAGGGTCCCTTCTGGGTGAAGGACTGGGGGGCTTTGGTGGTGGGTGTGGTGGGGTGACATGCATCATGGATGTGTGAACCTATTCCACTGAATCCTATACAGTGTTGTAAGATAATGTTATCATTTAAAAACTTTTAACAATCTTTTAAAATTACATAAAAGTCAGTATTTTCTACCCCAACTAATAATAAACAGGAAAATATACTTTACACACATTTGTGGCGACGTGTGGCTGCCTTTCAGGTCATCTGCAGACAAGGTATCATTCAGAAGAACAAGGCTGGTATGCAAAGCTTCTGTCACCCTCCACAGCTGGCTCTCCTCCTCGAACTGTCTGCTGATAGCCTCAAGACCCCAGCCAACGCCTGCAAGCAGCATCTTTTGCCACCGATGAGCCACCTACACAAGGATAAATGAAAGTATTAATATTAACAGTAATAAATTAGAAATAGTAGTATTTAGTTGAGAACTATCAGCAGACCAGTTCATTTTTATGTTGTTGGCAGATTGATGTATTTGTTCAAAATTACATTGTAATTAAATTTCTACCCATACATTTTAAAGACAGCAAATTATGGCCCTCCCTGGTGGCACAACAGGTTAAAGCACATCACTGCAAACTAGCTCAGCCACTTCAGCATGAGTTTAATCCACCCAAAGGGGACCCATATTGCACAGCAGACCTCTCCCCGCCTCGCCCGCTGCTCCCCTCAGCAGTGTATTTTGTCAATCTGCCTGTTCTGCTCCCCATTCTGTCTCTGGTGAATCCTCTCACCACCCCTGCATCTCTGACCTATACCCCTGTTCTATTTGAATAAATAAATCTTTAAAAAGTAATAAAAAATAGGAGTCCCAGAAAGATGGCGGCAGAGTGAAGAAGCTGAGATCACTACATCCAAGCTCACACAGGAATATGAGACTAAAAACGGACCATAGACTTACATAAGTTTCAACCCAAATGAGGGCACCCTGGACTCGCTAGATGGAAGATAACTGAGGGAGACTCAGAGACTGTGGAGCTCCAATAGGGGAACCCCGATTTGGAGTGCTCAGGCACCCAGGCACTAGGAAGTACCTCAGACAGGAGACTTGCTGCTCTTTTGCCCACAAAAGCCCTGGAGGTAAAGAGACACAACTCAGCTTGATGAGTAGACCCAAGCTGCGGAGAAAGATTGCTTGGCATGAGTGCATAGAGCCCTGGAGGTGGGAAGTGAGAACTAGCTCCTGGGGCAGCTGAGAGGCTTGCAGCCCTTCTAGTGCTCCCTGCATTCCCCATCCCCAAAGCAGAAGTCTGGAGACTTGTGCGCCATTAAGGCACTGCCCTGCAAGGCAAACAGAGCAAACAGAAGGTAAACAAAACCGGGGGGGTTCCACTACAGGCCTAGCTGCAGGGAGACCTGCAATGCTTCTAATGCACCCCAACCCTCACCCCACCCCCATCCCATGGACACATCCAAGCATATAACGAACCTGGGACATTGGAAGACTACAAAGATCAATAGTGGGCAAGTGGAAGATACAGTGCTGCTACAACATGGGTGTGGTGCAGAAAGACTAGCTAGGGAGCTTTCCTTCTGGTACCCCTCCTTTTCCAGAGACCTATTTAAACAAGCTCAGTTCTGAAAACTAATTGATGCCACTAATTGAACCAAAAAAAATCACAAACCACACATACCTGAAATCGGGTGGCTACCAGAATTACCAGGATGAAACTGTCAGGGCCACCCACTGTGCTGGGGCCCCTAGATTGCAGGAGACCCTGGGTGGAAAGAAACCTCAAGAACTTCCTTACGAACCCAACTACATCAGATATATCATATTTTTAAAAAATACCCCAAAAAAGTAATAAAAAATAAAGACAGCAAATTGTAAGCATAGATGACTTCAACTTCATAAATGGATTCTTGTTTCTCCCTTTCCTTCTCCTGTATCCACTCCTGAAAGAGATCAACCTTGGCTTTATTTCTAAATGAGTAAAATATACATTAAAAACTAAACAGGTGGCCCTCCCTGGTGGCGCAGCGGGTTAAAGCACAGCACTGAGAATCTAAAGCTGCTTCCACATGAGTTCGATTCCCGCCTGCCCCGGAGGTCACCACATGGCGTGGCAGACCTCTCCTGACCCGCCCGCTGCTCCCCTCAGCAGTGTACTTCATAGATCTGCCTGTTCTGCTCCCCACTCTGTCTCTGGTGAAGCCTCTCGCCGCCCCTGAGCCTCTGGCCTGTACCCCAGTTCTGTATATACAAATAAATCTTTAAAAAAAAAAAAAAAAAAACTAAACAGGCATTCTCAGGTTAGTATAAGTATATCCATCTACTCTATTTTTTAAAATATATTTATTTATGTATACAGAATTGGGATATAGGCCAGAGAAACAGGAGGGTGGTGAGAGGATTCACCAGAGACAGTGGGGAGCAGAACAAGCAGATCAATGAAATACCCCTTCTGAGGGGAGCAGCAGGCGAGACAGGAGAGGTCTGCCACACCACTGGGTCATAGATTTGTAGATAATTAATCTGATTACAAATAATATTTTGATTTATTGTGGACATTACACCAAAATAATTGTTTATGCCCAACGTGCGCAATAACCTGATTTAACCATGAATTTAGATCACCCAAATATGCACAATGGGAAGGCATTCATCTGACATGTTGATATTGGTCAAGGCAATGCTGCTGTCCCTTGACCATTTTGTCCCAGATAAATTTAGTGCCACCAACAGACAAAGCACCTACATATTTTTTTTAATCAATGTTTACCCACTATTTGATATTTTAATTAAAAATACATAGTAAAGGCCCTCCCTGGTGGCACAGCAGGTTAAAGCACAGCACTGAGAATGTAAAGCCGCTTCCACATGAGTTCGATTCCCGCCTGCCCCGGAGGTGACCACATGGCTGGCAGACCTCTCCTGACCCGCCCGCTGCTCCCCTCAGCAGTGTACTTCGTCGATCTGCCTGTTCTACACTCTGTCTCTGGTGAAGCCTCTCGCCGCCCCTGAGCCTCTGGCCTGTACCCCAGTTCTGTATGCACAAATAAATAAATCTTTAAAAAAAATACATAGTAAAGAAAAAATTAAAGTTATATGGAGTCATTATAGAGAACAACAGATGTGAAAATGCGATACCCAGTACCGTAAATGGACACTTGGCCTCTCCTTACCCATCTCTGCAGATTCCCTGAAGAGCATAAAGCTGAATGTACACCCGAGCACTGCAGGCTTCCAAGGCTATCACAATTTCATCTGCACCACAGCAGCCCCTCCATGAAAATCCCTCCCCAGCTTGCTTTCTCATTGCTTCCCAGTAAATTATAGCTATTATCTAAACAGTGTTTCTCATCAAATCAAGGTGAAGAGAGAGGCCAGTGGGCACACAGTATGCCACAGGAGTGCCAAGTAGGAACACATCTGAAGCACGCTAGCCAGTCTCCTGCTGTAAATTCCCTGAGACAGTAATCACTCACTGTTCTTGGATTTGTCATATGCATCTTTAGCCCAAAGATGGAGTTTTGGGGGATGTTTGTACTGAGGCCTAATAAACAGAGACCACTAGAAGCACATGAGTGAGGCATTCGTAATGGAAGGTGGGGGCCTCTCTGGAAGGATGTAAAATCAAACAGCAGATGAACTGGCTCCAAGTGAATTCATCAGCTAAACAGAATGAATAAGTTATAGAGTTCTATTGTGCATCAGTGTATAATCAATGGATCTGTATTTTACATGTAAAATCTTTTTTCATGTAAAAGATTAAGTAGGTAGCTCTCATATTAAATGTTCTTTCCACAATTAGACGAATTAGTAAAAATAAGGTAAATAAAACTATGAAAGATGAAGGGGACAGGTGAACCATTTGGACACATTTAAACTACATGTGGCAGGGCACAGGTGAGCAGATGTGGGACAGCACCTGTTTGTAGAGTTTCAGCCAGCTGACAGCATGGACCAGGTAGTTTTTGACCTCTGACCACCTCGGGTGACAGCCTCCAGGGCGACCCTCTCTGTCCACTTTGCCATCAGAGCTGTGGGACAATGCTGAACACACCATCTGTTCCAATGAACTCTCTGTGGGTATCTGGCAGTGTGAAAAATATTTGCAAGTCAAGCTTTATTTTATTAGAATATTTCTTTCCTAGGAAAAATACCAAGATATTGCCAAAGTTAAAAGTCTGACATTTGCTCAATTGAGAAAGTAATAGGTTGATGCCTTGAGCAGAGGTTTTGCAGTTAAAGAATACACTTATGGTTTTCAGGATAATCCACAGGTACTGAGAATAGCATTTTCTTCAGGTTGAGCATGTAGGGATGATATCAAATATTGTTCATCTTCACTCTCCATCCAAAAGCAAGCATGAGATAGACCTGTTAATTTGGTAGCATCTACTAACAAATTTGTTTTGTCAGAAACATTTTATTTTCTAATTATCAATGAGAGATGTAGTTGGAAGGATTCGAATTAGAGTTCTGGGTCAGAAATTGTTTAACATTTTGGAAGCAAATCTCCTTTCTTTCTGCAAATGAACTGACATACTCAAGACTGCTATAAAAATATTGATTCTTGAATTTGGGTTAGAAAAAAAATATTCTCACATTACATAATTTGATGATAATTGTGGTGTTATCTTCAAGAAGTTCTATTACAGGCAATGATAAAAAAGCATTAAAGCTCCATTTTTGCCCTTTGTAATTTCTTTTGTGATTCATATTAAGAAGATTCACTGGTAACTATGAAGCCACAAAGTCTCAGAATCCCTCATAGGTTTTGTTCTGCTTCATTTATTCTTTATTAGTAAAAGAGTCAACAGGTAACATATATGTGTGTTAGAGAAGTGACACTGCTCTCAGTATGCACATCCTGATGAACATCCTCAGGTCCCTGCGATTTGCTCATCACAGAAAGCGGAGGTGGGCTCTGGAGGTGGGGGTGAGGCCATTAGCATTCCATGGAGTGTGAGATGGGACATGTTTCTATATGAGAAATGGAGAATGGAGGAAAGAAATGCTGCTTTTTTCCAGGGAAACACACACAGAAGTCTCAGACAGGCAGAAGAGTGGCAGGTAGTGGAGTCAATAGTTGTTGGGAATCCACACTGATGCCAACTAGCAAAGGTTGCCACTATTCTTATCAAAAAGTTGGTATAATTTTGTTAACCATCCACAATTGAAGTTGTGATTGCCATATTTTTTTTCCTGGGTGCTGTTTTTGATGTGACATAAATCATCATTTGGCTGGCTTTTATCTAAGTTTCTTCCATATTTATGACCTTTATTTCACATTATTTTAGAACACAATTTATTTTGGAAACTGGGGTTCAAATCCAGTAAGTCAACCCAATCTCTAAGATGCACTCTGTCCCTCTGTCCCCCACTGAAAACATATCTACCTGGAAAGCAGTCTTTTTTAGCCACCAAAACCCTCTATGGACCAAAATCCACCACCAGCAAACAACTTTTCTTCTAAACCTCACCCCTTCATCTGACCTAATTTCTTACCCTGCTAATGCCCAGAAAAATAATAAAATATTCTATTGCTTTTAAGCTACCTTTGAAGTTGTAATGGACAGACAAGGTAAGAGAAAGGGACACGTCCAGAAAAATCCAGATATAGTGAAGACCCAACATATCCTAGAAGTTCAGAGGTAACATCATGTCCTAAGAGTTCAGGATGGACTCAGCTGTTTAAGACAGTAGTATTTTTTATTCTAAGAATATTTTATTCTAAGACTAGGTTGTACTTAATTAATTTCCTCATACTAGACAGTTAGGTGATTTACAATATCAATCAGTATAAAAATCAATGCAATAGTACTCACAGAGATCATCACAAAGCAAGATATATTTACCTCATGTAGTTGAGTTGAATAATTCAGGACTTGTTCTGCACGTAGGTCATCAAAGCCAAACTGGGATTTTAGATCAGCCTGGACAGTCTGTGGATCCCACACCATATCGTGCAGGGACTGGATATACCCTGATTCTGCAAGACAATCAATTTCAGTTGTTTCAACACAGTGATATATCTAAAGTAGTTCAGAAGATGATGTTTTCTTTATTTCTAAAGTAAAAAAAGACCAACTGCAATTTGGACTATCAAACAGGAAAAGCAAACTGAAGGTAAAGCTTGATATATAAGAGAACACAGGAAAGTAGCCCACAGTCCAAAGCATAAATGATAAATGAGTGCAAAAGTTTTGGAGGAGAATATGACAACATATCTCAAGGCCTTTATGAAATTCAAATAATCAAACCCAATAATTTGACTTCAAAATGTCACATGCAAAATAGAGAGAAACCAAGTACAGGGTCAGACACAACTTTTAAACCAACCCTCCAAAACTGGCCACAGAACTGAGACTTTCAGAGAAGGGTGAGGGTGGGAGGGGTGAGAACAGAAAGAGGCGAGGGCACCCTGAACTGTGGTGGGGCACTACGGTGCATTGGTGGTAAGTGTGCTATGGTGAATTGAATCTGACCGGGAAGATCCTGCATTACCAAACACTGACAGCAGTGTAAAAGACTGGTACATCAGTAAAATATGTTTTGATTTATTAAATTCGTTTTGATTTATTATATATCTATTTACACTATTGCTCATTTTAAAGCAATGTTTGATTCCCTCCTTCTCCAATTTGCCCATGCATCATTTTTTTAGGAAAAAAAAAATTCAGATAGGCCCTCCTGGTGGCGCAGAGGGTGAAAGCACAGCACTAAGAAGCTAAAGCCACTACTTCCGCATGAGTTCGATTCCCTCCTGCTGGGGAGGTGACCACATGGTATGGCAGACCTCTCCTGACCCGCCTGCTGCTCCCCTCAGCAGTGTACTTCATAGATCTGCCTGTTCTGCTCCCCACTCTGTCTCTGGTGAAGCCTCTCGCCGCCCCTGAGCCTCTGACCTGTATCCCAGTACTGTATGAACAAATAAATAAATCTTTAAAAAAAATTTCAGATAATGTGAAGCAAAAGTAATATGCAGGATGTTATTACATTGATTTCATACTGATTAATATTGTAAATCACCTAACTGTCTAGCATGAGGAAAATAATTAATTACAATCTAGTCTTAGAATAAAATACTACAGTCTTTAAAATCATATTTCTAAAAATTTTTTAAAGTAAAAAATGTTTCAATTAAGAGTGTTAATAAAGGTATAAAACCCATAAGCCACCTCATAAGCTAAAAATAAACCAGTAATGTTATCTAGAAGTGGTAAGCACAAACCTAAGTCCAAGACTACCAGTCTGACAAAATCATGAGTGAATATGGTCTAGCAACTGTAGACATAAAACATAAATTTCACAGTGAAACTTCACCTGAAAACCTGTCAATTAGAACATTTCAAATAGGTACCTAGTGATAATAGCTTTCTGTTGACTGCCTACATGTGTTAAACTTATTTACACACATGGTCTAATGGTATTTTGAGTCATTGCTTTATGTCCGTGAGAAAGACACAATCCTACCATTTATAAAACAGAGCCCAGTCAAGAGAACTTTGGAAAGATACTAAAGATTGGAGTAAATGCAGGAGTTTAAGACTCCTCACTAAGTGTTGATATAGGGGTAAGGGGAGGGGGGTGCCAAAGAAGACTAGCTGTGAAATTAAAATTTGCATTTATTGTGTGTTGAAGAGGTACCAGAATGCACATGAGGCAGTTCCATCCCAGGATTTTGTGAGTCCACAAATATTACCACAGATGGGTACAGAAGTTATCTCATTTTGAAAGAAGGAAGTAGACACTTTAAATAAATACATTTCATTTACCTTACAATTTGAAATAATTGCTGCTAAAATGTAATTAAAGTAAGCTGTTTTCTATCAAATTGCTGATGAGTCAGAGCCAAGAGAGACTTTTGTAAAAACATTTATTTAAAAGCAAGAAGCACTGATCATGCTTCTAGATTAAGTTATAATGCAAATCCAGCAAATATGATATCCAAACCTGATTTACAAATACTAAGCTCTACTGTTCTCAAAATACAGAATAGAATAGAATGTAGAATAGAATTATTCATAGTGTTCCAGAAAGGAGCAGAGGTTGATTATAATGGATAAAAAATTATAATAAAATAATTCCAAAAACTGAAAGTCAAATTGGTTTCTGAAATTCATTGCTACATGACAGAGTTCAGCATATGTGGATTGACAATTTCAGGGCATACTATGAATAGATCATCAGCCCAAAACCACTGACAAGGTCTATCCTTTCCTTTTACACAGTGATTGCCACATTAGGCAAAAGATATTTTTGGAGATTTGAGATGTAAGTGATAAAAAATGTAAGGAAAAAGTTTACTTGCTTTTAAATAAATGTTTTTACAAAAGTCTCCCTTGGCTCTGACTCATCAGCAATTTGATAGAAAATAGCTTACTTTAATTACATTTTAGCAGCAATTATTTCAAATTGTAATGTAAATGAAATGTATTTATTTAATGATGTACAAAAATGTGAGCTTCCTAATAAGTTTATTAAAACCAAAGTCACTGGAATGATTTTAATGAGACTGTTATATGCCTCCTAGACTTTGTTCTGAGTATAAAAAATAATGTTCTACTTGTAATTAAACTGAGGGAAAACACGTTAAACATGAATGATCTATATTCTCTTTCTCAGTGTCTTGGAGTCTTCCCTATGCTGAGTCATCAGCAGCAGGAAAAATTTAGGATTGTGCTTGAAGTGCTACCCTTGAAGACACCATATTCGTTAGTCCATGGAGCAAGAAAATTCTGGAAGTGGTGACAGAATTTCTGTGTTAGAAAATACTTAAGTAAATCAGGATGCCAAGACCTCAAGAATTATGATTCTGAAGTCTGAACCACAGAGACTTTTCTTTCTCCACTCTACCCTATTCAAATGCCCTGAGACGATCTTTCTACTATGCAGACCTTATTCTTGTACTTAAGTATGATCTGACTTGGGTTTTCTATCTGTGTTATCTGTTCTCAACATTTACTTTACTCCAGACACACTGAGTTTGCAACACATAGATTTAACAAGCAGCAGAATCTCACACACACTGTCCTTCTTCTTGCCAGTTCTTCCCCATTCACTGACAAGCTCTAACTAACCTTTCAAAACTTTACTTTGAAATTTTTCCTAAGATTCAAAATTTCTACTCTATAACCTTTATTTTTTCATTAGCAAAACATTTCTCTCCTTCACTAAAGATGACTCCCAGAAGAACAAGTACCATCTCTTATTCAGTTTCTGGACTGCAGTGCATATGACACATAGAATTCACTCAATATATACTTGTTAAAAGAGAATAACTGAATGAATGGGTTACTCATTCATGGGTTGGTGTATAGTGGGTTGTGTGAATACATTAATAGATACATAGGATGAGTGCATAGAAGGATACATAGGTGGATGGGAAAATGGATGAATTCTAACTCCAATATTCTTTCCCTGTATTCCTATAACAGAAAGAGAAAAAGGAAAAGAAAAGAAGAAAAGAAGTAAAAGCAAATTTGGGAGACTAATTAAAGCTCAAGAAATAATATCACTGATGAGGCAGAGCCAAGACACAATGAAATATCTTTTACATACAATCCACTCCTCCAAATACTACAAAAAAGCAACTATATCTGCAAATATATCTCACCAGCTCATCATCAGCATCCAGCATTGACCCCTGAATCTTTCTCTCTGGGGTGGTCCATTGTATTGGAGCAGTGACAGGAAGGGGGAGTGCTAGAAATAGTGTATGTAGGCTTTTGTGGCAGATGAACAAATATTGGGAGGCCATATAAGTTTTGTAGTGTCCAGATTGGCACAGGGACTTCTGCAGTAAGTGGGAAATAATACATGAAATCTTGACATCTTGACTGAGCTCTGGGACAGACTGATAATTCCTGGAGCATTTTAATATATGCAATAACATGCCCTGAGGATGGAGGGAATTCTGTTGTGAATTAAGGAGCCTTGTGATACAGGACCTAGAAAGTATCAGAGCATCTTAATCTGATCACAAAGAAATAGCTATACAGGCTACCAAATCCTGATTTTTCTCCTTTAAAAAAAAAACTGTGGGTTCTAGTTCCAGAACTCCTCTTTCCTACCATGTTGGTAAACAAGGAAGACCTCAAAGCTAGAGCCACAATGCACTTACAACAAAAGGCATGTGAAAGAAATCGCAACAACTCAGAGTACACAATACAGAAAAAGATAATTGAGCTGAATCCAAGCTTTATGACTCAGACACAGAAGAATTAAAGACAATGAATTTAAAAGCACAATCATGAAGATACCCAATGAAGATTGAGATTCTTGATTTCCTGATTAAACACAGAGACAGATTCAGGACATCAGGAAATATATCCAGGGTGAAAAAAAAATGTATTGTTCATCAAAGAAATTGAAGCTATTAAAAAGCAAACAAAAAAGGCCCTCCCTGGTGGCTCAGCGGGTTAAAGCACTGCACTACAAAGCTTAAGCCACTTCCTCATGAGTTTGATTCCCGCCTGCCCTGAAGGAGTCCACATGGCGCGGCAGACCTCTCCTGACCCTCCCGCTGCTCCCCTCAGCAGTGTACTTCGTCGATCTGCCTGTTCTGCTCTCCACTCTGTCTCTGGTGAATCCTCTCACCCTCCACATCTCTGGCCTGTACCCCAGTTCTATATGAATAAATAAATAAAAATCTTTAAAAAAAAAAGCAAACAAACAAATCACTCCTTGCTGGTGCAATGGTCTAAAGCACAGCACTGAGAAGCTAGCCAAAGCCAAAGTTTGATCCCTGCCCAGGAGATAATCCACATGGCATATCAGACCTCTCCTGTCTCTCCTGCTACTCTGCTCAGCAATGTATTTCATCAATCTCCCTGTTCTGCTCCCCACTCTGTCACTGGCTAATCCTCTCTTCACCTCTGAACCTCTGGTTGTACCCCAGTTCTGTATGCATAAATAAGTAAATCTTAAAAAAAAAAGTAAACAAATAATAAATGCAATAAAAGAATTGAAGAATCCATGCAAAGCTTCTAAGCAGATTTAATCTTGAAGTCCAGATTGGCACAGGGACTTCTGCAGTATTGGAAATATACAATAAAAACATACAATTAATGCAAGTGGAAGAGAAGTGACAAATAAGATTTATTGAAAGTCAAAACCAAGGCAAATTATTAAAAGAAAAAGTAAAATATCTATTTGCAGATGATATGATAATTTACATGGAAAACCCTAAAGACTGCATAGAAAAACTAATCAAAACAATTAACCAGTTTAGTAATATAGCAGGATATAAAATCAACACACAAAAGTCAGTCACCTTCATTTTAAATTTAATTTTAAAAATCCCCTTTACAATAGAAACAAACAAAAAAATAGGTTGGGAATAAACCTAGCAAAAGAGGTAAAAGACCTATACAAAGAAAGTGGTAAAACACTGCTAAAGAAATACAAGAAGACACAAAGAAATGGAAAGACATCCTATGCTCATGGATTGAAAAATTAACAGCATCAAAATGGGCATCTTATCAAATGTGATATACAGATTTAATGTTATTCTAATAAGTAATCTCACTGACATTCTTCAAAGAAATGGAACAAACATTGGTGAGATTTACATGGAACCACAAAAAAACCTCAACTAGCTAAAACTCTCCTGACTAAAACTAAAGAGAATGGAGGCATCACACTCCCAGACTCCAAGCTATAATACAAAGCCATAATAATCAAAACTGCATGGTACTGGAACAAGAATAGACATACAGACCAGTGGATTCAAATAGAAATCCCAGATATAAACCCACATATTTATGGGCAATTAATATTTGACAAAGGAGCAAAAATATGCAATAGAACAAAGAAAGTTTACTCAACAAATGGTGCTGCGTAATGTAGGCTGCTGTGTGAAAAAAATAAATAAATAATCAAATAAAGCTACATTACTACCTTGCACCATGCACAAAAACCAACTCAAAATGGGTTAAAGAACCTGATATAATACCTGAAACCATAACATATCTAGAAAATAAAGTAGGCTAAACACTACACAACATACACCTCAGTGATATCTTTAAAGATATATCACCCAAACCAAGGATAATGAAGGAAGGAAAGGATAAACATTTGAAATAAATAAAGTTAAAGAGATTCTGTACAGCAAAAGAGACATTACACAAAACAAAGAGACAACCCACTGACTGGAAGAATATTTTTGCACACAATATTGACAAAGAACTGATCACACAGATAAAAAAGCTGATGAAACTTAAAAAAAAAATTAAAATGAACAACCCCATCAAAAAATGGGCAGAAGAGATAAAAAGACATTTATCCAAAGAGAAAATGCAGGCGGTCAATAGGCATATGAAAAATATGTTCAACATCACTTGTTATAAACCACAATGAGTTACTAGCTTACACCAGTGAGAATGTCACAAATTAAAACAACTGGTAACAGCAAATGTTGGCAAGGATGTGGAGAAAAAGGAACTTTCCTACCCTGACGATAGGAATGCAAACTATACAACCACTGTGGAAAGCTGTTTGGAGCTTTATCAAACTGTTAAATATGGAGCTTCAATATGATCCAGCAATCCCATACCTAGGTATCTACCCAAAGGACACTGCAACATTTTTTCACAAGGACACCTGAACCCCCATATTTATACAATACAGAAGACATGGAATCATCCCAAATACCCAAAAATAGGTGACTGGACTAAAAAGAGGTACATATACACAATGGAATAGTACTCAGCAATCAAAGATAAAATCATGCCTTTTGCAGCAACATAGATGGAACTGGAAGGGATCATGCTTAGAGGAATAAAACAGAAAGAAAAGGAAAATACTAGATGGTTTCACTCATCGCAGGAGCATAAGGGACCAGGGGGAAAAAAACGATTGTTGGCCCTCCCTGGTGGCGCAGCGGGTTGAAGCACAGCACTGAGAATCTGAAGCCACTTCCGCATGAGTTCGATTCCCGCCTGCCGCCTGCCCCGGAGGAG